ATATTACCAAACACTTCTAACAGGCCAGTTGTTTGCAGGTGCTGTGATCTTAATAATGTCAATTTTCGGGGGTTATGCACAGTCTTGCTTATTGGTCTGCAGAGAGGAATTTTGGGGCTGGATGACATAGTTGTTTTGAAGGGTATGTGAAAAAATAACTAATTTGTTTTCCAGGTCAATTCTGTCAACTGCAACACAAGCTGGAAAATAGTCCTTTTCATGAAATGGAGCGATAACAAAGATGACATATTGAAGGGGGTGAGGTTGATACTTTATGGGCTGGGCAGCTTTTTGATAACTTGGCTCCTCTTGGGGCAGCTGTTTAGTTCTCTTTTTGAATGCATTTCTACTTAATTCCTTCTGCGTGGACTTTTAGGGTGACGTGGTGAGGCTGTTCCATGCTGAGCAGGAGAAGTTTCTCACCTGTGACGAGCACCGGAAGAAGCAGCATGTCTTCCTGAGAACCACCGGCCGGCAGTCGGCCACATCTGCCACTAGTTCCAAAGCCCTGTGGGAGGTGGAGGTAAGGAGAGAGGCGGGAGAGCAGTGAGAAGGGACTGAAACCTCTCTCTCTCTCTCTGTGTTTATAAACCATATCCAGGTACTTATACCCACCTGGTTCCAGCAAATGGGTTGGGGTGACTTAGTGAAGTAAGTAAATCATGACATATCAGAAGCATGCTGGGTGTCCTCGAGGAGGAAGATAATATCTACTTTGGAAGCAAACTCAAGACTGAAATTGGAAATTTCTTTCTCCTGGCTGTCTAATCATCTGTTCTTTCTATGTTCTTTCCTTTGCTTGCTTATCAATCACAACCATATTTTTGATCATGTGTCTCCCCGGCGTGACATATTGGTGACGGGGCAGAAAAGATACACATCCAGATACCTGGAACACTCAGCAGGATGGTAAAGGTGATGAGAGGCACTTTCCACATGCTGCTCTGGAGGTTTCAATGGGGGAAGGAGAACTGGTTGGGTGAAGGATTAAGGAAGACTTCCTGAAGGAGATAGCATCTGAGCTGGTACTTACAGGATGATCTATATTTCAGAAGGAAGACATGAATGGAGTAGGTCATTTCATGTACAAGAATGGTGTGGAATTGGAAGTAAGAGGCAGCCTTGGGATAAAAGTCCCCAGTTTGGTGGGGAGTGTAGAATAGGTGTGGGAAATAAAACAGAAATGGTTTTTTTGCATCCAGGAGCCTGAGGGGTCATATATCCAAGCTGTAGAGAGATGGGATTTAATTCATAGGCAGGGAAGAAATGTGGGAAGTTGTTTTGAGCAAGGGAGTAACCATAATCAGTGTGCTACTTAAAGAAGATAGATGATTCTGCCCATGGCATGTAGTTTATTGAGAAGGGAGACTAGGGTTGCCAGACCAAAAAGAAATGATTTGAATGCTTGATGAGAGAGGAAACAAGAGCTTGAGCTAACATGGAACTCTTCTCCTCCTCCAAAGTCCTCTTCTCTGTGTCATTACAGCTCCTTGAGTAGGTACATTTCTCTGTTTCTACTTGCCTCCTCTCTTCCCCTCCCTAGCTTCAATTGTTTTGTTTTTATTGAGGTCTAGCCTACCTGCAGTGGAGTGCCACATCAGAAGCATACAACTCAGTAAATTCTCACATATGCATTCAGCCATGTAACCAGCATCTGGATTAGGAAATAGAACAATAGCAGCACCCCAGAAGATCTCTTGACTATCTTTCTGAGTAATAGCCTCCTTTTCCTCCTGGAGAATTAACTACTGAATTGACTTCTATTGCCATAAATTACTATTGCTTGTTCTTGAACTTCAGATAAGTGGAACCATACAGTATATAGTCATTTTGGGGTCTGTTTTTTTCACTCAGCGTTATTATTTCAGGATTCATCTATGTCATGACATGTATCAAACAGTTCATTCCTTTATATTGCTGCGTAGTATTCCACTGTGTGGACAGGCCACGGCTTGTTAATCTGTTTACCTGTTGATGGACATTGGAGTTGTTCCCAGTTTTTGGCTGTTACAAATAAAGTTTCTAGGGGCATTTGTGTACAAGTTT